AGTCAAAGTTGGGGTTGTTGAACAGTTTAACAAAACTTTAGAAACAAAAATGTGGAGGTATTTGACAGCTAATAATAAATACCTACAGGTACGTGGATTTCCTTAAAAGTTATAATCCCAATATGCACTCAACTATCAAGTCTAGACCTGTAGATGTGAATCATCACAATGCTCTGGCAGTCTGGAAAACGACCTATGGGAACTATGCTAAAACAAAAGAAGATATTCCAAGGCTCAGAAAAGGAGACCACGTGAGGGTTTCTAAAATGAAGGGAGTGTTTGACGAGGGATATGAACAAAATTTAAGCACCAAGATACAGTATTTATAGTGGTTCCTGTAGGGGTACGGAAGGAGTTTGCATGAGTGACCTTTTCTGGCGGTGAAAGCAGCTTTTTAGCCCTGCATACTAAGTTCATGAGGTAGCTCTTTTTCTCTAGTACTGCCTCTCTGTGATATGCTCTTTTCCCCCCTTTTTGTTTTCCCTGTATTTAGGCATTGTAAGTAGGGGTTTCCCCTCCCTATTTGTATACGTGCATACTTGGGAGATAGGAGCCCTCTCCCTCCTTTGCGCATGTGCACAAGCACCTGCATGAGCAGCCTCCTGCTCCTTTGCACATGCTCATGAGTGTGGGGTGTGCCCCGCCTTCCCCAATTGGTCCACGGGGCTAAAACGGTTGGGGACTGCTGATCTAAGACATCTCCAGATCACTAACACAGCTGAAGCATGTAATACCTTCCTGTTAGTGATGCAATATGAATTTGCAGAGGGAAAAACCAACTAGGTAGCTCTTTTTCTCTAGTACTGCCTCTCTGTGATATGCTCTTTTTTCCCCTTTTTGTTTTCCCTCTATTTAGGCGTTGTAAGCAGGGGTTTCCCCTCCCTGTTTGTATACGCGCATACTTGGGAGATAGGAGCCCTTTGCACATGCGCATGAGCGTGGGGTGTGCCCCACCTTCCCCAACTGGTCCACGGGGCTAAAAAGGTTGGGGACTGCTGATCTAAGGCATCTCCAGATCACTAACACAACTGAAGCATGTAATACCTTCCTGTTAGTGATGCAATATGAATTTGCAGAGGGAAAAACCAACTGGGGAAGGCTTTTAACAATGCTACTACTGGGAGGATGCCTTGCTAAGAAGCTGCAGTTTTCCTACAGGACCCTGTCAAGTGGAGATGTAGACTATCTATCACAATGTATGACCGCCTACATTATGGACTACAAAGCCCCCTGGCTTCTTGAAAATTGCACAAGAATTTTGCACAAGAATGTTCAAAATGTTTAACCATGTCACAGAACTTTTGCCAGTCAGGCAGATTTCCTAATGTATGTACCATACATTCTTCCCATCTTTATGATGTTCATGACTGCCTCAAATGATTTAAAGAAATCAGCAGTCTGCATGGCATTCATGTTATATTTCCCCACAGATGTGTTAGAACCTGAAGAACCCCCATTTTTTGGCGTTGCACATCGTTCTCCCCCATTCATGCTATATTGTCCTGATGGGGTTTTAGAACCTGAGCAGCCACTCCTTTTTGCCTCTGTATGTTGTGCATTCCACTAACATAACTTTCAATTGAACTTAAGGTCTACCTTCCAGAAACATTTCTCTTCCTTTTAACTGCATTCAGGGTGGGAGAAGTTGTGTTATTCCCTGCAAGAAACGCAGGTCAGTAAAGTCCACACTGTTTACAATCATCCTTTACTACCCAAATGAGAAAACAAACAATACCCATGATTTACCATTGGCAGCTGGGTTCAATTCTACATGTTTGGTCTTCCCAGACATTTTTTTTTTGCTGTTTTTATTTCTGAGTTAGCCTGCATATTGGGTTTGTTACCTAAAATTATTCCAGCTTTATGGACCAGCTTCCCTGTCTAAAGGATTGAAGCAGATGGTTGGGCTGAGGTAGGTGTTGTGTAAAGGAGCCTATTTATCAGAACAGTTGTAGATACTGATTTGGACACTTTTCCATATACAAGGCTTGATTCCGTGAAGTCTTCCTCAGAGACTTTTTCTATTTTAAAAAAGTACATCAATATTTTTCTCCTTTAAAAGGACCTAGATGATTTACATCAATGTGAGACAATATTTAAAGCTAAAAGCAGTGAGTATACAACAATAATTTACATCAGTAAAAGACAGTATGTATACATGTATTAAAAAGGAACGAACAAATACCACTCTGCGAAATGGTAAACACAAATAGTATTAGAGACCCAATCAAAGCAGAAATGTAACCAACCTATATCTTTTTCAGGGGCATGTCTAGTGGCTCCCTTTATTTGTATCTGAAGGCAAGAAAAGGACATGTTAGGGCTTGCCTCACATTTTCTTCAACTTTTTAGCAATATACTGCAAGAATATGGAACCCCTAGAGCAGTGGTTCCCAACCTTTTCTGAGTTGCGGATTGGATGGAGGGGTGGGGTCCATTTTGGGGGGGCACCCCTGCACTCAAAGGTGGGTGGGGTCTGTTCATGGAGGGGAGCGGTGCGCTTGCACATGTGCAAAGGGGAGGAGCGTGCTTGTGGGTGGGCGAGGCACCCATGCGTATGGGTGGTGGGCCATGCATGTGGGTGGGGTGGGTGGAGGGAGTGCACGTGGGGGGGGGAATCTGTCTCTGTGGCCCGGTCCTGCCATGGTCACAGATGGGCACCAGGCCGCAGACCGGTTGGGACCCCTGCCCTAGAGAACATAGAGAAGCAAACATACACCATTGTATATACATATTTGGCCCTTGTATGTGAGAAAAGTGTAAATGAAATGCCAAATCCAAGAATGCTCACCCTTTTATAAAATATAGCTTCTTTGATTCAAAATGACTCTGAAGACAAAATTACCTCTCATCTAAAACAGAGGTCCCCAACCCCCGGTCCGCGGCCAATGCCGGTCCGTGGCTTGAGTTGGACTGAGCCATGGAGACAGACCTTCCCCCTGCCCATACCCCCCAGCACAGCCCCTTTATGCCTGCACGTGCCTGTACTCACACAAGCACTCCCCCACCCCTTTTATCACAGTTTTCTATCAAAAAGGAAGAGATATCATACTTAAAACAAATAGCCCAATGCTGCATTAAAATGAAATTTTATATTTGAAACAGCTAGGAAGGCAAGAAGGGTAAGATACTTACATGAGCTATTTTTTTCTCAGCATCAGAGTTGAAAGCAGAAAGATGTTTCACAAAGGGATCCAGTTTTTATACATTCTGAAACTTTTCACAGTGCATTGCCTTAGTATTAAATCTGCTAAGATTGGCTGTTTTTCCTACCTTGGAAGGACCTTGGGACAGATAGCAGATCTGTTGTCTATGCCTACATTGAGGGTCACCTGAAACAGGTTAGTTTCCTGTGAAATAGTGATAGGAAGGTTATATGTTCTCGCCCAGCTTTTATAAATATCAGGAAAAGGAATATACAGATGCTGAGGCAAGGTCTCTTATCATGGAGATAATGATGCAAAGAATGTGCTTTGAAAAAAGGGGTTTATTGCTCAGAGCCTGTTTTTTCCTGTCCCTAACATTTGAGCCCCTCCTGAAGCATCTGGTGGGATGTGATGGCGCTGTGGGCTAAATCGCAGAAGCCTCTGTGCTGCAAGGTCAGAAGACCAGCAGTCATAAGATTGAATCCATGCGACGGAGTGAACTCCCGTCACTTTGTCCCAGCTCCTGCCAACCTAGCAGTTGGAAAGCATGTAAATGCAAGTAGATAAATAGGTACCACCTTGGTGGGAAGGTAACGGCATTCTGTGTCTAGTCACACTGGCCACGTGACCACGAAAACTGTCTTTGGACAAACGCTGGCTTTACGACTTGGAAACAGGGATGAGCACCGCCCCCTAGAGTCAAACACAACTGGACAAAAATTGTCAAGGGGAACCTTTACCTTAAATAAAAAAACCAACACCTTGTTCTAAAGTTGTTTAGGTTGTTGTTAGTTTGAAATTATCCACAATTATTACATCCGGAATTAGATATTTTTCTCCTAATGTGGTTCTGATTATTGCTCTACAGCTTGGAAACGGGGATGAGCACCGCCCCTTAGAGTCGGACACAACTGGACTAAATGTCAAGGGGAACCTTTACGTTTACCTGAAGCATCTGGGACAATTATAAAGAAAAAACAACCACTTTAAGAAAAACTTTTATTCATAATTTTATACTGGATGGTAAAAGAAAAGCATGTCCTGATGCTTGCCTGTGGAAACCCTCATGCTCATCTTTCAGATATTCAGCTAGACAGTGCTTCAGGAATCTATAAATGCCAGCCCTCACAATGCACCCCACGGCTTTGCATTTTCTCAGAGGAGTAAAGTTCTGGGGCAGTCAAGTTCTGGGGGAGTGTGTGATCAATCATTTTGACAGGTGCTATGCTATCCTACCACTTCTCTGCCCTGTTCCACAGAGTCTGTTGGTAACTCTATCCTATTTTCCACAGCAACCAAGAAGGATTTTCCTCCCTGCCCTCCCCAATTCCAGAACTTTTGCTGCATTGTTGTCTCAAGGTGGTAAAAACTTTTAGAACACATTGACTTTGTAGCTTCCAGGTGACATACCATGAACCTTCTTCCTAACTCCGTAATTTCTTCTAACTGCCTGCAAATATCTAAAAGGGAGTCTCTTTCTCTCTTAAGGAAAATATTAAATAAGTTAATGCCATTGTCTGTCACATAATGCAAGCAATTTTTGTGTGTGAGCATCTTCCACTTATGTGTTCCTGGCACTTTGAAATGATAACCCTCATAAACTCTTAATAACTGCACTGGTTTCATTGACTAGCGGGCAGTTTAGATGGAAAAATAAAAGCACTCTTTCAACTTCTATGTATGTTACTGCGAAACTGTAATGAAATCTGCTACAAAAATCACAATATTTGTTGGCTTCAAGTACAACAGAAGCAGATATTATGGTTTTATTCTCTTTATTTTATTTTTCTTGCAACCAAGGAAATAAAACATATCTGTATATAGATATATATGTATATCTATCCTGTTGGCCATTAATGTCTCAACACTTACGATGTTGATGATGTTGTACCTTTTTTCTCCTCGATTAAATTTTGGTTGGAACAGGATTTGGTTATTTACAGTACCATTCCCTTACATATTCAGGATTTTGTCCCAGGATTTCATTCCACCTGCTTAATCACATGTGCTATTCCTACATTTTGCCAAGTAGGGGCTAAATACTTACATTGTTTGATTTTAAAAAATTATCCTTAGCATTTATGTAGCACTTTAGAGTCTCCCATAATTATGAGAGACTAAAGTATGAGCCCTGTATTGGTGGGATCAGTATCTATAGTTTCACGTATCCATGTTTGCTGGAGCCCTATATATAACATACAAGGGCATCCACTTGTATGTTACATATAGGTTATATAAATCAATTATTGTCAAAATAATCTTTTTGGTAATCTTGGAAGTTAGGTTTAGAAAAAACTAACCCCATATTGCATACAGAGAATGGAAGCCAAATGACAATGGTCTGCTTGCAAGTGGAGTAAGAATCTCTTGGGGTGGGAGATCTTCCAGATGTTTAGGCCTATGAGTTTCATCAAAGCCACCCCAACATAGTCAATGGTAAAGGCTTCTGGGAGCTTTAGTCCCCAACATCAGGAGAGCTGGTGGTTCCCTAGCCTTAGTTTAAAGTCATGGAAGAACTTACACCCACCAAAATATCCCAGGGAGCATGATCAGTAGTTCTGCTACCAGGGGGATTCTGGGAACTGTAGTCTCCCAAAAGGCGACCTTGGCAAGACAGATTTGTTCAGGAAGGGTTTGGTTCACAGGTCTACCTCTTAGCTGCCATCACCGATTTTCATTCCCTTTATTATATATATAGTTCCAGATTCTGAAAATTTGTCTGGGTTGAAAAATCATAGAGTTTTAATTTATTTATTAACGTTAGAACACTGCCAACTGCATTGGGTGTTGTGCAGAATTTAAAGTGTTGAGATTTTAATGGCTGTTGTTGCATTTTGTTCCTTATAGTACAGTTTGAAAAAATAAAAGAAGACACATGTATTTCACTTTACAGTCATTCCTCATTTTTAAACACATTGAAAGCTCAATATGACATATTGTGACATTCATTAATGCATAATCTGAACAGGCATAGAAGGATATTTCATTACATTTAGAAAGTGCTGTGCTTTTATCTCATCCACAACCCAACCTGTAGTATAGCAAAATACACAAACTTGTAAACATAGACTCACATTTATTGAAAAGGTACCACTGTTCACATTCAAATATTATACATTTGAATATTATACAAATATTATACTGCTGATTTCGGGTGGGGGGTCAAAACCCCAGTAAACACAACTCTTTCCACACCTTTCAGAAACACAAATTAATACTGTACTGAATACTCCAGAGATTCACATTACAATTAATCACTGCCTCCTCTCCTCTTTTTCCTCCAGTTCTTCTTTCTATGCAAAAATAAAGGTCTTCTACTTTCCAGCACATCCTTAATTATCTTATTCTGACCTAAACGCCTCTGAGTTCAGTGGGGTTTACTCCTTATTTATTTAGTATGCTAGGAATTGCTGCCTTACTTTAAAGAAACATGCAAAATCATAAAGGTCTTTTTTTAAGGCATGGTTTCAAGTTGGAACGTGGGGCCTAACATAATATTTTATTTCATCAGGAAACACAGTGAGTGTTTTATGACTTTAAAAACTGAGTAGGGATTTAGAATCTTATCCAAATGGAGGAAAAGCACATAAACCAACCTCTACCAATAGTCACCTTTTCAATGCCAAACTAGACATGGAGTTGGATTAACCTGTTTTTCCTCTAACAGTGGGAATTCCCCAGATATAAACATCTCAGCAATCAGCCTTGCAAACTGTCAGTACAGTACTTAACTTCCAGTGAGTAATCACAAATAAAGATAATGAATGCAAAATACAGAGAGGAGGAGAACTGTGTGCTATGACAAACAGATGTCTTCCACAATGTGAGGGAGCACCTCTTCTAAGTGCATGCTTAACATGTTGTCTAGTTTGACCCTCTGTGTATATATGCTTACCTGATACACGAATACAAGGCTACTGCACTGTTCTGCCTTGTCCCCTAGGGTTCTTCATTCTGTGGAGGTGTTCCACAATGTCCTCTTATTTCATAAAGTAGATATGGACACATCCTTATTAGAGCAGCACTGGAAGAGGATGTTAAATGGAAAGATCCAGGAGACAAGGAGTAGGAGGACAGCATGGAAGGAGAACTTGCATCCCACTGAATCCTATGGCTGCTTTTGTGAAATGCAAAAGAGACTGTGGGCAACCTGCTTGTTTCCAACAATGAGCAGAAACAGTGTTGTGTCCCCCAAATGATTGTGTTCTGCAATTTCTCCACAGTCCCCAACCCTGAGGCTAACATAAGACTGCACAACTTGGAACAGGTACTTTTTTATTCTAGAATTCCAGAATCCTCTAGCCAGCATGACCATATACTGGGGATTATGGGAATTGTAATGTGTCCAAGCTCTTCAAGGTTTTAGGGATTTGAATGTTTTCAATACTTGGCTCTAATCAATGGAAATTAATGCATGATCCTAACAAGAAAGTGCAAGTGTGAGCAGCCCTTCAACTCTGCACAGAACCTGTCTTGTATGCATGCTGTAATTTCACTCACTGGCCAATCACCAATCCTCCTTTCTGTGGGCATATGCACACGTGTTACTCAAATAAGACAAGAAACAGGCAGCGACAGAGAAGTAGCTGTGTCTTGTGACGGCTCCTAACATTGTGTGGTGCATCCTACACATTGCCCTCATGGCAGAAGTGGTTGCCATTGATAAAACTGAATGTGACCATAGATTGGTTAGTGCTCTTGAGGGATGCCATCCGTGTTGTGCTTCGGCTCGTGCTCTGGGACCGAATGAGATTCCGGGCTTTGCAGCATCTCAGTTGGTGATTAAACTGCTTCCGAAAACTTCTGCTGAGCAGGTAGAGGGCGAAAGGGTTGATGCAAGAGTTAGCAAATGCCAGAATCCGAGCACAGAGGGTGGTGATAAAGTGCAAGAGAGAAGTGTCCACCTCAGAGTAATGATATGACCGGTATAAATAGATGATATGGTTAGGAAGCCAGCAGAAAGCAAAGATACAAACAAAAACCAGTACTGTCTTAGCTAACCGTTTTCGGGACTCCACCTGAAAAGAAGAAAAGAAATCAAATGTAAGATATAGTGAATATAAGGAGCTGACAAAGCAGATCTTATATTTTATTTCATAGTTTATAGTAAATGCAACCTGCTTCCACATATAGTCTTATTCCAGCACCGGTAGGTAGAAAATTGTAAAAATGTAATGTGGCTGGAAATAATGCTAGGAAAAGCAGAAGCCAGCAGGAATAAATACCAAATATGAGGTGGATTATTTATGAAGATTCTCAGTCATCCAGGTAAGGTTATCTGGAAGTTGAGTTATGGCAACTGGACTTCTTTCTTATTAGGTTGAAATGTTTTGCTCAACCAAGTGTATCTTCTTCAGTCTGAAGAGAGTTGGTAGGAAACCTCTGATAGATCCTCCATGTTGGTTTCACTTCTCCCTGATCTGAATAGGCTTGTTAGATGGTCAAAGGATGGGGTGGTGAGTGAAAATCTCACTTCTGCAGTCCTTTTCCACCCATTGTCCTGGGTCTTTTACAGTTGTTAACAGTGGTCTTTCTGGTGTGTGTCTCCTACCAACTCTCCTCAGACTGAAAAAGCTACTTGAATGAGTAGCAAAATGTTTCAACCTAATAAGAAAGAAGTCCAGTTGTCATGACTCAACTCCCAGATATGAGATGGATTGAGTCCATAAAGAAGATTATGGTCTTCAGTTTGCTGGAGCTGAGTAGGGCTGTTAGTGATGGTATCTTCTGGAGGCTACTTCTTCACAGAGTGGCCACACGTCAGATGCAACCTGACAGCCTAAACAACAAGAAAAATGAGGCAGGAAGGGAGGCCAGAGCCTACAAGCTTACTTTCTGGAAGTAATTGAAGTTCTAGTCCCAAGGCTCCCCAAATCAGTAAGCTACCATTATACATAACCCTAAACCCGACAGCACAATTGGACTGCAGCAGGATTCCATCTCTAGATCATTCTTGACTGTCACATGGCTTCCCAGACCAGGCCTGGGCCAAGCTGCTTCTCCACTGATCTCCATCCTACTTTCCCCATCCACTAACTCCATTCTTTGCATCTCATTTTTCTGCCTGATTGCTTCTTTGTTCCAACCCTATTTCAGAAAGCTTTTTTTGTTGTTGTTCAAACCTGTTTTGCAATTTATTCTAAATCCAAAGGTGGGGGACATGTGCCTTTCTAGATGTTGTTAAACAGTAACAGTCTTCATCGCTCACCATGTGCCACACTGGCAAGAACAGATGGGAGTTGCAGTCCAGCACCATTTTTAAAAAGCCACATGTTCCCTCTGCTCTGTGTAAATCCTCCTGTAGATGCATTCCTCCTTTCATTTCCCTCAAACTGAGATGCGATCAATTTTGCAGACTGCAGCTTAGTGCCAAGCAGAGATGGGAAATACTTCTCTTGTGATCTACAACTCCAAGGATTCCTTGGCCAATCATGGCCACTGGTCATGTTGGATGTTGTATTCGGGGAGATGTAGCCCCCAAAAGAAACATTTCCCATTTTTGGTGCTGGCAGAGTACAGGGGGACCCAGTGCAATATCACAGAATGTTTGAATTCAAGACTAAAAGTATTCAATACCAAAGTTATTTAAAAGGCATTTAACACTAAAGGTATTTAAAGGCATTTAATACTAAAGGTTTTAAATAAAAACCTTTGTATCTAAAACTGAAAGCAATGCAATAAAACAATCAATAGAAATTGCCTGTAATAGAGCCCTGCGAGGTACTATATGACCCTCACCTGATGTGACTAGGTTTCAGTACTATTTGCCCTGAGGGATGAGAAATCATATGTAATTTTTTATACTTGATATATTCAAAGGCTATTGTCAAGGGAGAAAGAAAGCGAAGAAGGATGCTTAATAAAATTTAGAGAAAGGACATAAATTGCTTTGAGAAATGTCCACACATTATGCAACGTGACACGTTTATTACACTCTTGTGACCTCTTTTGTAATAAATCCACAGAGCAGTCAGCAACATACAGAGCAATCCTAAGTGTGGGGGGAAGAGGGGAGTGATGGATCTCCTGCTTCTATAAGCCTCCCCTCTGCCCCGCCCTGCCACATCCCTATGCCAACCAGAGCACAAGGTAAAGGATGCTTTTTCACAGAGAATTTCCTCACTCCTTTTGCTTCACCTGCCAGGCTGGCAGGAGTAATGGATCCTCTCCGGATGGGCTGCCAGAGGGATTAGAGGAGATTTTCTTCAATCACTCCAAAATGGTATCTGCCCCTGCCTGCTGATATAGACTTCTCCCTGGAGCAGTTCAGTGAGCATACAGTAGCCTCTAGAGAAGGAGTGCTCCCAGCCAGTTGTCTTCATGGGCCCCACCATGGAAGCCTCCATTCCTTGCTTGCTCACCTACTGATGAAGTGCCTACTCAAGTGTGTTCTGCCTGCCTCATTCATAGCTGGATTGTACACAGCTGCTCTTCAGTTTAACACAAGTGGCAGGCCAATCAGCCCATGGATTCCATCCGCAGTGTCCCCATTAGCCACCCATTGCAACAACAGATGGCTAGACTGCAGTGGTGGAAAATCCAAGGCCAGCCTTTAGCTGGCTGTGAGTAAATGAGGAACCCAGCACTTCCATCAAGTTACTAAGGAATACTTAAAGAGGATGGAAAGCCTTAGAAGAGAGGAAGGAGGAACTGGAATTATGGGGAAGCTCTGCAGAATAAGCGAAGAGCTTGTTATCACTCAACCAAAACTGCGGTAGGAGTAGAATCTAGAAAGTTTTGTTTTAAAGAATCATTTATTCCTAGTACTCATTATAGCCCTTATAAAAATGATGCATTATTATTGCTCATTACATTATGAAAACCTTTGCTGCATTCATTAATTTTCTTTCATTAATTTTCATTAGGTTTTTTTTTTTTTTTTTGAGAGGGGACCCTTATGACTGGCAAGAATGGTATAAAATGTGAAAAATTCATCTCGGAAACACTGAAAAATGCCCTTTGGCAGTAACTTTAAAAATTAACTGCAAAACAGTGCAGTACTTTTTATAGCAAGGAAAGAATGTTACTCCCACTCATTATTCATTGTTTTGAGATGTAACTTCGCTAAGTTTTCATTGAAAAAAGTAACTCACAAGCTCTAGAGAGGAGATGGAGAATCTTCTCCCCTCCTGGTCCTTCAGGAACAGTTAGATGAAGACAGAAATGTAATAAAGAACAGAATCCTTTGAAGCATAACAAGGCGGGAAAGGAGGAAGTAGAGGCTTGAGAGTTATTATCAGAACCTCTAAGCAGGGCAAGAAAAAGTAAAGGAGGTAGCTAGCGAGTGGCAAAGGGCAGCGGTCCATACGCTGCTGGAGAATTCTTATTGTCTTTTGCTAAAAAATACTGGGGTTTTTTTTGAAAATTTGCTCATTTTTTACATAGCAGAATAACATGAAGTCGATTGTGGCCCACTAGGTCTCTCATATCTGCTGCTCTGGATGCTGCTTATAGCTTTGCCACTAGAATAGTTGAGTACGGAGGGAAGCTGGTTCCCTCAAGGCCTGGAACACTTTGAGGCAGGAATGTCAAGCTGAACAACTCTCTCAGCAGGCACTGCTTAATTGTTTCACAATTGGTATAACAGTTGTGAAAGTTAAGCATCTCTTTGTTAAAAGAAGTTTTAAAATACACATATACAGTGATGTAGTGGAGCCAGGACTCAAGGAGTTGAAGCTCCAGCATTTTCTGAAGAGCAGGAGCTATGACGTCCTCTGCCACCCACCTCAGACTCTCCTGTTCCCTCTGAGCTAAGCCATTATGTATAGTTAAGTTAAGCATCTGTTTGTTAAAAGAAGTTTTAAAATACACATATACAGTGATGTAGTGGAGTCAGGACTCAAGGAGTTGAAGCTCCAGCATTTTCTGAAGAGCAGGAGCTATGACGTCCTCTGCCACCCACCTCAGACTCTCCTGTTCCCTCTGAGCTAAGCCATTATGTATCTTCATAGTATCTGGGAAAGAAATAGATCTTCAAGGGAAGTATATATTGTTGCAAGTTACTGTATTCCTTGTTTTAATACACCACATTTGAGGGTGGTTTGACCCTGAATTAGGAAACCAAGAGCCATTAGATATATAGAAGACCTGCTCTCCCCTTGTTGATATGGACTGATCCTACGGCCTGCATTTCTGGACTTTGATGGGAAGTACAGAAAGTGTCATGAAGAGTGCCTTTACTTCCAAATTTACCCACCACAGTGCTACATAAACATCATGCCGAACCTAGTATTCTTAAAGCCCTGTCCATCTAGTTTCCCATTCAAGATCAAACCACCCTCAAATATGGCGTGGTACAACAGGGACAAATTGAGCAGCAAGGTCTATCACACATATCATTCACCATAATGGACTAGGAAACAATACGAGCAAATAGAGGAAGAGAGGAAGGATGCTTCAAAGTGAGACTTTCATAGCCCACTCACCTTCTATCATTTGTGAATTTTTAAAATAAGAAATCCAGTCAGTATCATCTTGTAGCTATCCCATGTTTTCTTGTTGTTTCCCCCTCTGTTTTGCCCCTTAATAGAAGAGACCCGTTCAGGAGGGAAACAAAGTGGTGCACCTTTTCTGACCATCAGCACTCAGACCTATCCATGTGGAAGTACTCTAGCCTGTGGCACCCCTTCCTCCAATTATGCTCTTCCCAGTTGGGCATTTCTTTTTAAAAAAAACCAAATAAAACAAGACCTACCTGTTTTCTAACATGCACGTTTCCTTCCACTGGTAGATTGTAAGCACTCCGTATCAGGTTCTTGGCAATAAAGTAATAGTATACCGAAATAACTGAGAGGGGTATTATATAAAAGATGAGAAAAGATGCCATCGATTGAATTTTCGGATGCAGCTTGTTCGTGTGTGGGTAAGGCGTACAGGCAACAAATGTTTTATTAGTGCCTTTGTCATACATAGAGCGTAAGTCTGAAAATACAACCTCAGGAATGGCAAGCAGCATAGAAAAAATCCAGATCATGACGGCTTTCAAGCAAATCTTCAGCAGTGCATGGGAACCCTGGATGTCCATTGGTCTCACTATAGCTTTATACCTGAGGAAAAGAGAAATAATTGGATTACTGGCCATACGGATAAATTTATTAGAATGAACTCATTATTCATTAGAATGAACTCCTTTTTCTTTGCATGAAAAAGAGGTCTGGTCACACTCTTTTCCATCCTGTTTATTTCCTTCTTCCTTCAATGAATCTGAGGGCTCTGCTATGGACTATGTTAAATATGTAGCATGCACTTTACAAGCAGCATGCAATTTAATACCTGTCATTTTTTTTACACTGCAATAGAGACATATATTTCTTCTTTTGGTCTCTATAGAGCAGTGGTCCCCTACCTTGGGCCTCCAGATGTTCCTGGACTGCAACTCCCAGAAGCCTTCACCACCACCTCTAATGGCCAGGATTTCTGGGAGTTGAAGTCCAAGAACATCTGGAGGCCCAAGGTTGGGAACCACTGCTATAGAGGACTAAATTGGAATAAAAATTGCAGGAGGTTCTCTGTACTTATTAAGGCCACACATGCTTATTTAAACATAAAAAAGAAAGGAAGAAAGCACCCATGAACTGCACCTCACATAGTCAATGTAGTGTACGAATTGGCCCTAAGAATGATCATAGTTATAATTGTTTTTCCTGGTCGGTCCCCAGGGAACCCCCTCAATATGTCAGGTTAGGAACAAACTAATATTGAGATGAATGGCATAAAAGCAATTACTGTGAATTTTTTTTTTAAAAAAAAGTAAATAGCAGTTTCAGAAACACCCTGAGGACTGCAGATGTTTTAAGGGAAGGATGAGCAATGGTGGATTTCTAGATGTTTCTAGTCTATCATTCTCATGAACCATAACCAGTACAAATCAATGAGGGTCTATGGGATTGGCCATCAAAAATATCTTAGCATCACTGTTAGAGTCCTGGTTTAGAGCAAGAGTTTGACTCATTCCCATGCCATAGGCTCTATGGGAATTGCCCCTTCCCAGTAAGGGAACTCCATTGTTGCCAGTAGAGGCTGATGCAAAGAGCAGCTTTAGGAAATCGGGTTTTTGTCCCCATCAAAGGGGTAAGAATCTTGCAGTTCTGCTATCACACTGGGGATATACAATATGAAGAGAATGCTACATTTTGAAAAGTGTACTGAACTACAATTTCATACTTTAATACGCTTGGCTTTTGTCATGTATAAGTGGCTTTAAAACTGGCTTGCAGAGTTGTTGATCTATTTTTAAACAATGAGGACTTTTCAGATTAGTTTTGAAATCACTATGTACAGTACCTGCTTTGAAAGAATGCTTTTATTTCTTTGTGTCTGTACATCACTAGCGGGGGATCCTCATGGGCTGAAAAGTGGTACATAAATACTTTAAAATACATTAATTGCTTGAAGGCAAGTAATGTCACTGTTATCTTAGGCCATGACTAATGTATGTATGTAAGAGCTCATCCTTCTTCTTCATTACGTTGCACCATCCATTTCCCTCCCAAATTAATGACTGATAGTTGAAGGCAAGTAATGTCACCGTTATCTTAGGCCATGACTAATGCATGTGTGTAAGAGCTCATCCTTCCTCTTCATTATGTTGCACCATTTCCCTCCCAAATTAATGACTGATAGCATCATTCAAAAGGGCCAAGGATTGCTGCTGAAAAAGAGAGCACATGTCATCACTTTGGTGTTGAAATGTATGAATTAAAACTGTTGTCACCTAGAAGAGATGTAGTTACTGACTTGCAGTGTCTATTATCACAAATGATTCAGAATAGCCATTTCATCAGGTGCACTGAAGCCACTCCGATCTAGTCACCTAGACAGGAAATAGGGGTTTGACAATGCTTAAGAGGAAAGCAAATATGCACAATTTGTCTGAAGATCCTGTTTGTAATCCTGCCACAAAACATGTAAATTAATCTGGGCTGTTCTGATGTGCCCTCGACCTTGGATAGGCCTCTATGGCCCTTCAGATGCTTTTGGCCTAGCCGGCTGACTTTACAGTGAAAGATTCTGGAAGCGGCACTCTAAAAACATCGGGAGGGCTAAAATTCTGCCCTAAGCAACTAATTTTTAACCTATAGCCTACAATCCTCTATCAAACAGAGAAGGAAGAAGCCCCCCCGAGGCAAGCTTTTGTGTTGCCTGTTTCCTTGTGATATTTAAAGGCTACAAAAAGATTTGCTGGCTGTCATTACCTTATATTCATCCAAGTTTTTAGACTGTGAATATCTGTCTTTCTGCAATGGTCAGTGCTGGTGCAATTCTATAGGTATCTTGCTAAAAATAAGCCTCATTAAGTTCAAAGGAGATTGCTTCCAGGAAGCCACAAATAGAATTGCCAGATCAGTGATCAAATACTGCATTGCTATTTAAAAATTAAATAGAAATCTCTCTGTATGATTATGATGGCTAATGACACAGTTAAAAGTCTGTGATGCTGCATGAGAACATGGCTGAATCTATGCATAATGGGAGACATGGTATGCCACAACAGCCACTGCAGTGTCCAGTTCTTGGCTCCCTTCTAATGTGTGGTATAATACTGTAGTATGGCCGGAGCTTGGAAATGTTATTTTTTTAAACTATAGCTGGCTGGGGATTTGGAGATATGTAGTCCAAAAAGTAACATTTCATTTATGATTATGATGCATTTTGTCATAAACAAAATGCTGGAAGAATACAGTATATTGTTCCAGTGATGGGGGCACTATTGTTTTAATTTTTTAAAAAACTTTTAGTTATACTGTATTAGCTTTGATTGTTTGAGTTGCAGACTTTTTTAATTGTATGTTTTGTTGTATGCAGTATATTTATTTGCCCCCCACCAGTAGTAGCCAATGATGTGGATATGTGGACAGCATGAGGGGAACTACACCATAGAGACTGGAAATATTACTTTTTGTTGTTTTATTCTATCTATCTATCTATCTATCTATCTATCTATCTATCTATCTATCTATCTATCTATCTATCTATCTATCTGTCTGTCTGTCTGTCTGTCTGTCTGTCTGTCTGTCTATCTATCTATCTATCTATCCAAATATCAAAGAATAATTAATAACATTATATTTAAAATGTTAGGTAAAAGAACTTTTAAAAAACAGATTTAAAGACAACAAAATACAAACCTTATTCATTCATTCATTCATTCATTCATTCATTCATTCATTCATTCATTCATTCATTCATTCATTCATTCATTCATTCATTCATTCATTCATTCATTCCAACTGATACACTGTTCCCATTAGTGCCACCACACTAAAACCATTCTGTTTATTGTCTCTTATACAGTCAGTCACTGAGGAAAGCCTGCCTGAAGAAAAATGTCTTCATCTGGGTGTGGAAAGACAGTAAAGATGGGAGGGAGTTCCAGAGCCTGGGAACAGCAATGGAGAAGGTTCTCTTCCATATACTGTATCACCAAGCACACCATCTGGTGGGACTGAGAGAAAGGCCACTTGTGATGATTGTTAACACCTGGGCAGGCTCATAAATGGAGATACCATTTTTAAGTTAACTCTGACGGAAGCCATTTAGAGCTTTATAGGTTAAAACCAGCACTTTGAATTGATTGTAGAAACAGATTGGCAGACAGTGGAGCAAATGTAAAACGGGGTGGGAATGATCCCTGTAACGAATTAACAATCCGGCTGCAGCATTTTGAACCCCTTGAAGTTTCTGAGGCCTTTTTTAACGCCATATACTGTAGATGAGCATGGCTGGGAAATCCTGCTTCACATGGCCTGTGGGGGTTCTCCATCGGGCCTTCAAGGTTCTTTTGCTGTTATCTCCAACCAATGATGAAAAAGCTTCCCAACCCTCAGTTATAAGGAAAGAAAGTGGAGCTTCACATGGGATTACATTTTCCAGTAGAAACCCAATAGTTCTGTATAATCTATAGCTACAGCCTATGGTGGAGAAAGAACTGGGTTTTTTAAGGATTCAGTCTCCACTCCAGCTAGCAAACTGTGGAAAGTGGTGAGGCTGTTTGCTAGCTGGGGGTGTTGGCTGCTGCCACCCGACCATCAAGGAAGGAGGATGGTCCCATTTGGTACCTCTCAGCTCTTAGAGAGAGGGGTGCCCCCCCTGCCATCCCTGTTCAAGCGCATGGCATCTCACCAGACGGCCACCCTCACACATAAAGCAGCCTGTGCTTGTGTGAACAAAGTCTTTTGCCTAGCAATTATAGGGTGATGCTCCACCATACACCTGCTGCCTGAGGACAATTTCCTCTTTCTGCCCAAAGGTAGGACTAGCACTGGCGGTGACCCCTGAAAAGTCGCGGGGTGATATTTCCCACGTTGTTTTTCAGTTATCTTTACAGCCTGAAAATTTCACCTTTAGGGAATGGCACTACAAACCCCATGCTTTATTAGCTAACTTCATTAGCTTGACATGAAATGTAATGAAATGGGGCATGCAGCGTATAAAGAAATTCATTGCTGTGATATTTAACACCCGATTTAAGTCAAAGGCTGTGTATGACACTGGGATGCATTCATGTGAAACAGATCTCAACCCTTCTCTAGCCACAGACTCATTCCTGTTTTTTTTTTTCTGGGAGACTGCAGTTTAAGCAGATACAAACAACATTTTTCAGTCAAATAAAGGTCAGTCAGCCCTTCTCTAACCACAGGCTCATTCCTGGGTTTTTTTCTGGGAGACTGCGGTTTAATCAGATATAAACAACATTTTTCAGTCAAATAAAGGTCAAAAGAAGGGTCAAGTACATGCTAAAATCACTCCCCTGATGAATCAATGGGACTTAAACTGCCCAACTGTGGCTTGATTATGGCCATTCTTCCTTAGTGCCAGAACTTTTAATTTTAATTCAACAAGAAAACTGCAGATACGTGCCCTCTCCACAGCATACCACAAGAGCCCTAAAATAATGTACAGTGGACCCTCTACTTACGGAATTAATCCGTATTGGAACAGTGGCTGCAGGTCAAAAAGTCTGTAGGTCGCGTCTCCATTGACCTACAATGCATTGAAAACCGATTAATCCCACTCCCCTGATGAATCAATGGGACTTAAACTGCCC